GCGGGGGGGGGGGGGGGGGGGGGGGCGTGGTTTGTTGCTGTGGGCGTGAGAGAGAGCTCGCTCGTGTAGGGCGGGTGAATGCCGTGTGAGCCGTTACAATACCAAGCGAACGAGGACACGCGGCGAAACAACCAAAGCCTACCTCCGTCGTGCAAAGCTTGCACAAATAGCCAGCACGAGCGCAAACGAAACACTTGATCGATCGCGAAGACTCGTTGCGAGGCGTGTTTGGCGCAACAAGGATGCGTCATCTCGAAGGGAAGGGACCGGGTCACCTGACCTGAGCCATTCTGACAAGAGGTACCGCACAATCCCCCATCCTTCAATCAGTTCTTACAATTCCCAACCCCCACTTGGGGTAGTGCCTGGTGACTTTGACCACCAAGAATCAACAACATTGTCAGAAAATATATGCTCCTATATGTTGTTCCCTTTCAACAGTGAACAGGGCAAACGAGGCACTGGATGGAGGTCAGGGCGCATATAATTGCATGACAACCACAAACACCAATAACAAGAACAATAACACCAACCGTTCTAAGAACAACGTCAACAGCAACCTCCTCCTTCTCCTCCTCACCTTGAGGTACACCATCCCGAACTCGTACGCGCGGGATACGTCATCGTCCATGGGCAGTACGAACCCTTCCGGCAGGGGGAACACCATCGGCAAGATCTTCATGCCCTCCATCAACTCAAACGCCCGGAGGGGAGACGCAGACCGCACCATCTGGTCCAACTCGCACCCCACCCGCTCGCGGCTGACCTGAGGGCCGCCAAGATGGAGTCGTGCGTTTGTGTGTTGTGGATTATTGTGTTTTTTATTCTTAGCATCGAACGTGCTACCCGACTGACCAATGAAAACACGTCAGTCTCATGGCGGCTGAAAGCAGAAAATGCTCCCACAAATGCGATGAATTGGGACACCGCTAACCGGCTAACTACTGAAAAGACTACAGTGTGTGGGTGAGGAGGGAAGCAGCTCAACAGCAGCGCGGGAACATTCTTTTGAGAAGCCGACCGCACACGACACAATAAAACAGCCCCCGGTGATATCTAACGTTTGGGCATTGACAAACACTATGTATCACCGGGCTTGGTGTTACTACTGTGTGGGGCGTGTGGTAAACAATGTCGTCCGATTACTTGATTCACTCAGAGTCGTTTAATGCTTTGGGCTTATGCTGATCTCAGAATAGTTTCTATGCTTCGGGCTTATGTCGACCCGTAAAAGCTTGACTTACCCCGGGTGCGGAGGTGCGTGCCTTTGTGTCGGTTACGGTGCGAGTGTGCCGACCGCGGCACAAAGATTAAGATTCACAAACGTGTGCGTGCCTCAAAACAACCATCTCAGAAAAAAAACACGACGACCTTGGGGTACGGACAGGCCAACAGCTATCTTGTACCCGGTGGTCAACAGCACTCTACGACATGTACATGTTACACAGCATCACCGCCTGCTGTGTGCATACCTTCATGCACAGCGCCTCGTGCACTTTGGGGTCTCTCCCCGCCTCCATCAGCTCCGGGTGCACCCTGAAGCCCAGGCGGCTGGCGAACCGCACCGCGCGCAGCGCCCGCAGGGGGTCATCGAGGAGGGTCTCGCACGGGGGGAGGGGGGTACGCACCAGGCCCAGGCGGAGGTCGGAGGTCCCCTTGCCCGTGTAGTCCTCGACGGTGCCCGTGTTGACGTTGTAGAACAGGGAGTTGATCGTGAGGTCTCTGCGAGAAGGTGCGCGAGGGAGGCGAGGGAGGCCAGGGTGTGTGTTTTCGTCCTAATTATCATGGCGACAGTCCCCCCATTTTTCGTGGTGAGACCTGTAATAATCTCTTCAGTGTAGAGTGCTACACTTTTCAGTGTATTTTTTCGTACAACTACAACCATCGCTTGTGTGTGTGTGTTTTTTTTTTTTTTATTAGCATCGACCGCGCTAACCGGGTGACCAATGAAAAGACGGCAATGATCTGGGACCCCGTGGGGAGGTGTAATGGGGGAAGCTTTATGTGTGTGTGTGCGTGTGTGTGTGTTTTCCATCGCTCACAGCTCGCAGCTCAGTGTGTGAAAAAAAAAAAAAGACGGAGCGCGCGCGTACGGACAACAGAGTCGAGAAAAAAAAGCTACAGTAGCTCAAATGCATCTCCCGGCAGCAGCACGCACACCGTCCTCAGAACACGCACCTTCGGAACGAGTCCTCCATGGGCGTCCCGATGTTGATGCTCGGGATGCGGCTGTCCTGCACGTACGACTCCGTCCGAAGGTTAACAAAGTCCACCCAAAAGTTGTCAATTCTCAGGGTGGCCGTCTCCAAGTGTTTCGATTTCTCAGGGTTGGAGGCAATGAGGGCCACTTTGCTCATCCTCTTTCTTGCACCCGGGTCGCTCTTCCTCTGTGGAGAGACCCAAGTGAAGACGTGGGGCGGCGGAGAGGGGTACGTGGGGCGAAGGGGTGGGGGGGGCACGCGTGTAACAATTGAGCGTCGACTTGTTGTTGCGGCACGGAGGCAAGAGCCAAGATCGACAAAAAAAAAGAGAAAAGATCACGACACTAAATGCCACCAACATGAACCTCCCAATCAAGAAATACAGGCTGTTCGTCATACATTGCGATGAGTTCATCGTTAATTTATCCCGGATTCTTGCCTGTGGAAGAGATAGAAGAAACATTGTTGCGAGTTTCAAGGAAAACGATTACAATAAGCAACCGCTGTGAAGGCAACAGAATCGGCTGAATTTTCGGGGCCAATCGACCTTGAGAGCAAGGGACCCAAACATAACCTCACGCAGGACCAACAACTGACCGCTCGCGCAACCAAAGGCACCCACGCCCCGTCAAAATAACGTGCAGGTTCTTACCCGAGAGAGGTAGCGGTTCAGTCTTGCGGCGAAGTCTCCGCCCATGCAGTTGTCGAGCGCGATGTCGATGTCCATCTTGTTGACCTTGGACAGGTGCCGCTGGTGGAACCCTTGCTCTTGCCCCACCAGCTTATCCCGCACCCAGCCCCCGGCCACCCGGAGCGTGGTCCCCATCTTCTCCTTCTCCACCATCTGTGTGCCCCCCCCCCCCGGACACACCGCGTTTTTAGCACCCACAGGGCACACACGGCAGGCAGTGTGCGAGAAAAAAAAAGAAAAAAACAACTCGGCGTTTCGTGGGCGTACGATACACCCATGGTATATAGGTATCCGTTCCCTGAGTACGGCGGCACTCGCGACGTTTTTCTGGTTGCTGCGCGGCACGGGACGGTGGCGCCTGCTGGTATTGACCCGTGGATGTGGAATTGTAGAAGCACATCAAAGCATTTTCCTCCAAGAAATTGTCGTTGTTGCGCGTAAAAAAGACGGCAGTGCGTCGGGCTACTACGTGGTTTAGTGCACAAGATCTGCCGGCAGGTTCTAACTAGAAGGGGCAAGAATCGAACCCTCGGCTTGCTTGGCAATTCTCCTACACACACTGCACACCACGCACGCCTCCGGACCGTGCCGGAGCAATGACCACGAAACAAGGTGTCTGTGCCGCCGTGAGGTGGATAAGCTGTACCGATCTTACCTCCAGTAGCGTTTTGAAGAGCTTGTCCTCCTCCTTCGTGAGTATTATCTTGATGTCGTTTCGCAAGTGCCCGTTCGGGCTCCTCGCTACGGGCAGCAGGTCCGGCTCCTGAGGATGCTGAGGGCTGACAACGCCATGGGATCAAAAGAGCCAGGGGGCAAAACAAGAGGTATAGTACGTAACGACGGCAGGGGAACTGCTGTGCCATACAACCGTTGGGTGGGAGCTGCGAAAAGTCTGCCAAACTCAGTGCGCGCGAGAGGAACGATTCACCTGATTCGGCGCTCTTTTAGGTCCTACTTCTCTTGAACGTCAACCTCTCTTGAGCCGTATTTCCCGCGCCCGCGGCCCGAAGACCGATGCCGACGCGGCATAACACGTGCCAACACACGGACAGGGATAACTAGACAAAGGCTTCACTGTAAAAAATCTCTCCTTCGCCGCCACATGTTCTGCGGCGCGTGGCCAGAGGCGCCACGCTCGCGCGAATCCCCCCGTACCTGAATGCCGAGCTGTGGCGATCGAGAGTCGACAGCGGGGGCGAGTTTTGGGTGGGCAGGCTCAGCGGCGTGCGCTGAGACCCGCGCACGCCGGCGGCGGGCCTGTGCGTGCCGTGCCGCCACCGCGCCGTGACCAAGCTGTGCCCGTTCCTCTCCAGCAGGGCCCCGACCAGCAACACGCGCCTTGGATCTCTCACTCTCGGCCGCGCCACCGACACCAAGAACGCGCTGGGAGGGGCAAAGAAGCGGGGGTGGGGGCGGGTGGGTGGGGGGTTGGGTAAGATCTCATGTACCATCTGCGTGCACACGGGTGTGGGAGAGGCGTTGGTCTTCTCCAAGAGGCCCACGATCGGGGCGGTTCTTGTGGAGTACTCCGTGGAGAACACGTAACGTGCGACTGAAAGTTTGCTGATTGAAGTTGGAGAGACCGTCTCGCACGCGTTAGTCTCGACAGAGTCGCCGGCCGCGTCAGTGCCGCTGCAGTTGCGGTACGGATATCCACCCGCAACCGGAGGGTAATCCGCAACCACAGGGTTACCGATACCCGTTCCGTCACTTCGGAGGTAACACGGTCGGCATTCCTGCCCAGACTGCTGTTCTCGATGAGCGCGCGAGACCGATCTTTGGAAGATGCCGTGCCAGCAGTGCTGCAATCAACTCCGTGAATCCGACCGTGCCGGAAGCTCTGCGCTGGCTGCCACGGTGGATCTCCCCTACATCGTTGGAGCGCCCCCTCCGCCGGAGGAGGTTCTGGCTTGCTCGCCGTGGCAGCTGCCGCAGCTACATACAGCGGTTGCCGCATCGTCGTGTCGGATGCCGCTGCAGCTCGCAAACCGCTCTTGAGACTTCGTCGTCTCTCGTGAAATAATGCAGTCCGAGAGGAACGCTTATTGAAACGCAGATGTGGAAGACCAGGTACTTCCGCTGCCAGCCATGGTTTGCACGTGCCAACAGGCTTACTCTCCTCACTGACCGAGTGGCAGAAGAAGGTCAGGAGATTCCCGCAACACAACACGTATTTCAATGCTCATTGGTCAACGGAGCAACTAATTCTTCTGCCTGCTGCAAAACACGTATTTGCCCTGTAGACAAACCCTGTAGACAAATACGTGAGCGTTTGGGTGGTATTCCCCGATGTGGTTGGTTGAGGGGGGCGCGCCTTTCGCCAAGCGGTCCACCTTCGCGACATTTACCAAGTTTATGAGGAAATAGAACAGGCTACCGGGATCGGTAGCACCGCCGGGCACGCGAACGCGGCGTGACCGCGTGACAACAGGAACACAGGAACACAAAACACGCCGCATTTTCAACTTGGCATGGTTGTGCCCGCCAGTGCCTTCAGCCTTTGGCTCTAAAGCATTAAAAATCAACAGCAGAAACAGACGGTTCAGGTTGTCGCAGAGGGTCCCTGGGGGTCTGTCTAATACGAATGCATACATCTGTATCAACAGCGGGGCATTAACCGTAACTAAGGGTTGCTGCCGTGGGCGACAAGACAGATTTCCGATGTTCCCTTGGAAGTTGCTGCTGTTGTTACCGTCACTCGTAACTATGCAAGAGTGACCAAAACAAAATGCGCATGCTTGCTGAAGGAATTTCGCTTTTCTTCGTGCTCGCGAATATTTCACTGCTGCACTCTTCTGCACACCGTATCGACGACGCAATACCAAGCTTAGTGCGAAATATATGCCAAGTGTGCAAACAAACGAGAGATCTTCTTGACATGTCTAACCGTACAGGAGCGCGAAGAAAGGGGCGGTCAGGTGTGCATGTACGAGAGAACACAGCGGGATCATCATCGCAACTGCTCTGTAGCCAGCTCGCCAGCTCGCGCGCTCCTGCTTGCTGTTTCTTATTGCACAACGGGGTCTTCCATGACACGGCACAGCAGCACCGATCGCGCACATCAACATCCCCGCAAAACTAGCTTGCGACGCGATATACTTGCGTGACAGCAGCTACAAGTAAGTTGTAGGGCCGCCCGCAACAATCAACAAGCGGTGCATCTCCGTGTAGATCCAGCAAACAGCCAAGTCTGATTGAAGTGAAAAAACGCAACAACAAGGGCGTTTCCCATACAGCAGTACGCAAGAAAACAGAAGAGGCGAGAAAGGGTCGTCTACGCTACGCATCCCCAAATATTTTCGACTACACACGCCACAAACCTCTTGCAAAAGTGCTGCTGCAGCAGCAGCCGTGGTAGGAGAGTGCTCACCTACGCGTCTGAAAGCCCCTCCCTCTCACGACGCACAGCATCGCCAGCACAAGCGAAGCAGCGTTCACGCGTCGCCTTTTCATCCAAACGCCGAGTTCTAAATGGCCACTCCGGCCGCAGCAATGCTTGTGAATCGTCCTAACCCACTGTTGCTCTCTCTACCCTCACACAGAAACCCAGAGTGCCCCCTCTCGGCGGTAGTCGTGTGTTATCCTCCTTGTCGCACGCGGCTCCTTTGTCTGAGCTGGCACTAGGAAGGCGTTTCGCTACAGGGGGGACGGTGTACAATCGTCCCCCCCTTCGCCGAAATATATATCGCCGCCGCCTATCGCATGTCCGTGCCCTGTTTGTACCCCCTTTGTGTGAGGTGATTGCCATTAGACCTACTCGCCCGCTGTCGCTGTCTGTTGTTGTCTGTCCGCCAATACACGCCGTCATACAGCAGTGAGAGATGTTTTTTTCATTTTTCAACCCATCTCCTTGCATGTAACAGCACCATTGATTGAAAACATGGAAGAGCTTTGCTTCGTTCGCAAGTGTACAAGTGCCACCTAACGCTGTTTTTCTTCTCCGCCCCAGCAAAAATATATCGTACTAATAACTAGAAACTTAGGATTGTTGGCATAATATACATACGTAGCAGCACATAGTCTAAACTACAGCACACCGTAGTTCCAAAGATGGCGAAGCACAAGAAGAACAGGTGGATATTCCATGTATGTATGTGGATACTTGTATCTCAATCGCCGCACGGATTGGACAAAAAACGTTGAGTAACCTCTACACACAAGGAGCGGTGCTGGTTGCGCCCGGCTGAAAAGGGTCATATGCACACCAAGCTACACAACAATGCAGTGGAATCCACCCCCCACGGAACCCCCCCCCCCGCAGCTGATAGGCGGCAACTCACACATGACATATGATACATTGAGGATTGAGGACCAATCCTACTCCGGCAGGTCGAGATTGCGGTTATTCCTGGTTGGAACTCAAATATCTAACGCATAACGCACAAACAACACGTTTCAACGCTTTCTTGTGCTCCTGAGTCGCTTCCGTATTTCGACTTTTCCTCGTCCTTCTTACACGTACTCTGATGCACCGCCGTAGATCCCCACGGCAATACGGAACCCCACACTCAGCTTGCCCATGCCACGTGACCTCGCGGGTACTTCTCTTCTACTCCACGACGTCTTTGGTTTTTCCATCCCAGATGGCCAACCCCCTCCAGTCAACACGCCAGGAACAGGTTGTAAGGGGGTTCACTTTTTATGCCGCCAGTCACACGTGGCGAGTTTTTGCATCGAGCAGACAGACTCGATACACACCCAAAACGAAGTACGAAAACCGTTGGTATATTGTACTTCCGAGTCGCCCTACCAAACCACTCCTTCCTATCCACAAAAATCTATTGAGCCTGCAACTAGCACCGCTGTCTACGATCGCTTCGTGAGCCTCGCCCTTCCCCGTCCAGGTCTGCTAGGCCGAGCTACCGCGGGCACCGGGGGGCTCATGGTGGTGCCTTCCCCCCCCGCTCCCCCCTCCCCCCCCGCAGCGTGCTCCTTGCTTCCACGAACAGCGTGCGCGACCGCCTCGTCTATTTCGTTGGCAGCGCGAATCTCCACCTGGCAGGGAAACGCGGGGTTGGGAACGTGCGTGATTTACTCCCTGTCTAGGCCCGTGACTTTGTCGGATTGTGAACCCGAGCATTTCCGAAGTTCCCTGGAACACAACGCACTTAAGAGCAGCCAAGCGAACTATGGCCAAAAACTGAAGGTGCTTGGTTTGCAGCTTAGGTACAGGCACGAGTTGAAAAACAACGGGGCTATTTTGCCCAAACAATTGATCGGGCAAAACTCAAGCATCCAACCAGCTCTGCGATTCGTGAGGGGAAGCACATCGTGCTATAAATAGGTAGCAGACACAGAGAAAGAGAGTGAGAGACGCTGTAGAAAGAGGAGTGAGGTAGAGGGCAGCGCCAAGACCAGCGCTTAGCTGCGACTGCCCGCATTGTCGTTCTCCAGGGTTAAGACGTCGTCAACGCCTGCACCGCAAACTGACTGCCACATCATAGATGTAACCAAATCGCGACGCTCAGCTCTGTGCAGCCAGATGATCTACAGTTATCGGTAGTCTGGGCCAAAGGAAGACACAAACAAACAAGCAAACCTGTGTACCTTTAGCTGTTTATGCTCCTCGCAATGATTCTCTGTCGACTAGCCGTCGATGTTTTTGCTCTCATACATCGTCAAACTTCGACCGACGCGGCGCGAAAAACCCAACGGACAAATAAGCGGAACATTAACACACGGGTATCGAAACTCACGCTAGGTAACGATCTAGGAGGTAGGCACATGGAGGGAGACACTACACACAAACACCATGTTGTCGACAGCGAAAACTACGCTAGGAAACTATCGAAGGGAGGAGGCGAGGGACACGGAGAAAATTCGAACACCCACCATGTGGTCGACGGTGACGCTTGCTTCTGCGGCAGCGGCAACGACGCTGGCCTTGCTGGAAGAATACGTCATCTTCAACCTCACCGCAGCCTCTTCCGGGCAGCTGTACACCAGGACTGAAGATCGTTGGCGGATCGGAAGCAAGACGCAGCGTTCGGAGGATAACGGTACGCGATACGACAGAGCAGGGGGGCGAGCCGCAGAGAGAGAGAGAGAGAGGCAGCAGTTGATCTCAGCGTGCCCCCCTTGATAACCGCAGACCGAGTTTGGGGCTACTGCTGTACGGCATGGGGGCGCGCAACACGAGACACCGAAACGCATGATGGAGGCAAAACCTGCAACAGGAGGAAATTTAGGACCTTCTGTGCGCGCCGGCTTTCGCGCAATCAGGCGCAGAAAAATACGGGCGTACGTACGTAACACTATCGCCAGAGCTTCGCTTGCTCCAGGTGCATCCCCTTACCAATTCGCCGGACAGTAATTTTCCCGCAGAACTTTACGTCAGTAGAGGTTATCTGTGACGATAACCCATATCACCCCCCCCAACCCCCGGTCCAGGAAGGAACGATTGGCCATCGGTGATCGGTCTTGTGGGAACAATGCTCCGTCCTCTCGAGGA